AAAGAGGACGACGACGACGACTACTGACTGACCTCTGAGCCTCCCTTCGGCATCTTTTAAAGAAAAGAGGTTGAGGTTGCGAAGCGACTTCATCCCTCTTCTAGTCGTCTTGCCCAACATTCTCTTCTCGCCCCGTCTCTCCTTGTCCCTGCCTTCTCGTGCTGCCTTGCACTTCTCTTGACCGCCGCCGTTTAGGGCCCTTGAGCCGCTCTCGCCTTGCCGGAAAGAGCGGACCGCCCAAGCGAGCCCTGCCGGGCATTCCGTCTCCCGCCTGGATGGCTTTCGATTGAGACATCCTCACCAAATACCCCCCCGACGCAGCTCAAGAGGCCCCCACAACAGCTCCAAGACGGCCCGGCAGGGTTCCAAGACGGCCCAACAGGCGCCCACGACTGCCCTCAGAGGTGGCGAACATGCGGTGCGGCGCCAGCCTCGCAAGGGATGAAAAAGCACCTTTTCACGGCGAGGCGCTTCCGGCGCCGCCCCTGGCGCGCTCCGCGCGCCAGGGAGGGGGCTCCAGCGCCGATCCGAGAAATCCGCGCGGAGCTCCGAGTTTCTATGTTTATGCCACTTTTTGTTCCCCTATAGAGGCGCGGAAACGCAGCGACATCCGGCGCGCAAGCAGCGGTGCGGCAGCCGAGTTGCCCGCCCGAGGACCGGAGCGGCACCGGCAGCGCAGGGCGCGGGGAGGCACTCCGAAGAGGACGAGCGCGCGGGGCGGGCCCCCCTCCGAACGAGAGATGGCGCCGCGCGGGCCGAGCTCCGCCCCACGCGACAGCGCTGCGCGGAGCGAGCGCCGGCCTCTCTCCGCCAGTCTACGAGGGCTCCCAACTGCGCGCCCTCGCGCCGCGCGGAGCGCGGAGTGCGACTCGCTTCGCGCTCTCGCGCCGCCTCCCAGGGGAGAAGAGGAGGACGAGGAGGAATCCGAGCCGAACCGTGAGGCGCGAAGCGCGAATGGCTTCGCGCCCTCGAGGGCACCCGTGGTCTAGAATGCCTGCGCGTGCAGGAGTGCTGCCAACTGCGCCATGGTATGATGCTGCCCATGCGGGCCCGATGTGGCCAATCGTAGGTTGGGCGCCCGAAGTATCCGGGGCAGCTCGGGCCCGGGGTAACTCGGGCCTGGATTTTCGAAGAAACGAGCCCGAGTGAGCCCTGACCCGAGTTGCCCCTGATGATTTGGGGGCTCTGAGTATGCGCAGGTGCGGCCCGTGCATGCCCGATGCGTGCATGCATGATCTCCGGGCTGCAGCCGACGAGCTCCTCCCACAAAATCTTGCCAGCACCGATGGCACCTGCCTGCCTGCCTGCCTCGCTCGAGCTTGCCCCTTCGCGCCGTGCGGGCACGAGCAGTCCGTGCTGCCACCGCCTGCCGGCCTCGCGCGGCCTGGCCCTTGCACTGCAGCATTTCTCGGGCCTGCTCCGGCGACGCCCTTCTGGCACGGGCGGTGTGTGGTGCCACTGCCTGCCAGCGGGCCTGCTCGCACGAGCTGGCCCTCAGCACGATGAGTGGCTCTCGATTCGCCTTGCCCCGCAAACATGCGCAGCTTTGCAGCCGAGGGCCCCCCGCGCCTTTCTTCTCCGCCCTGGTTTCCCGTTCTGGCCCCGACAGCCCCAGCTGCCACTGCCGAGCTTCTTGCACGAGCTCGTCCCAGCACTGTGGGCGAGGATGCTTGCGACAACTCATGGGAGCATCCCGTACCATCTTGTTGGCTCTCACGAAAACGACGCGAATCGACGATAACCGACGCGAGTACACTCCGCTCGTTAAAAATAGAATCGGTGAAACTAGGTCTCGGTTAAACTAGATCGGAAGTTTCGGTCCCCGACTTCTGCAATTCCGAACACTAGATCGGCCCGCTTGCATTTACATTTCCCATGCATTAAAATACTCTCCGCTCTCCTTTCCATTCGGGCGCTCCCACATACGCGTGCACCTAATGTGGCGGTCGGCTCGGCTGCGCTGAATTCGATCCGACCAGGCTCCATATACACACGGGTCATTCAAGGGTCGGTCTGCACGGTCAATCCTGCAGGTCACTCCGGGACTGACCCAGGCTGGCCCCAGACTGACCCCGGACAGACCCTGGACAGATCTCAGGCAAACCCCGGATCCGACCCTGGACCGGCCCAGACGGACCCCGCGCGGAGCCCATGCAGACTGGCCCCGGACTGACCCGGGACTGACCCCGGACTGACCCCGGACTGACCCCGGACTGACCTCGGACTGACCCCATGCAGACTGACCCCAGACTGACCCCAGACTGACCCCGGACTGACCCCGGACTGACCCCGGACTGACCCCGGACTGACCCCGGACTGACCCCGGACCGGACTGACCCCGGACTGACCCCGGACTGACCCCATATAACCCGGGACTGACCCCGGACTGACCCCGGACTGACCCCGGACTGACCCGACCCCGGACTGACCCCGGACTGACCCCGGACTGACCCCGGACTGACCCCGGACTGACCCCGGACTGACCCCGGACTGACCCCGGACCCCGGACTGACCCCGGACTGACCCCGGACTGACCCCGGACTGACCCCGGACTGACCCCGGACTGACCCGGACTGACCCCGGACTGACCCCGGACTGACCCCGGACTGACCCCGGACTGACCCCGGACTGGACCCCCGGACCCCGGACTGACCCCGGACCCGGACTGACCCCGGACTGACCCCGGACCCCGGACCCCGGACTGACCCCGGACTGACCCCGGACTGACCCCGGACTGACCCCGGACTGACCCCGGACTGACCCCGACTGACTGACCCCGGACTGACCCCGGACTGACCCCGGACTGACCCCGGACTGACCCCGGACTGACCCCGGACTGACCCCGACTGACTGACCCCGGACTGACCCCGGACTGACCCCGGACTGACCCCGGAACGGACGGACTGACCCCGGACTGACCCCGGACTGACCCCGGACTGACCCCGGACTGGCCCCGGACCGATCCCGGACTGATCCCGGACTGACCCCGGACTGACCCCGGACTGACCCCGGACTGACCCCGGACTGACCCCGGACTGACCCCGGACCGATCCCGGACTGACCCCGGACTGACCCCGGACTGACCCCGGACTGACCCCGGACTGACCCCGGACTGACCCCGGACTGGCCCCGGACTGGCCCCGGACTGACCCCGGACTGACCCCGGACTGACCCCGGACTGACCCCGGACCCGGACTGGCCCCGGACCGACCCGGGACTGACCCCGGACCGACCTACCCCCAACTGACCCCGGACCGACTTCGGACTGACCCTGGAGTGACCCCGGACTGACCCGGGTCTGACCCCAGACATACAGAACGTTGTGTTTAGTATTCGAGTCTCGGCTCGGTAAAACTAGACTCGGTAAAAATAGATCTCGGCTAAACTAGGTTGCAATCTGATATCTAATTTAAACGAGTGGAGAGTAAACGCACCACGCAAATTCGGCGCATTCTCATCGACTACCACACGCTAGTCGACGCTTGTGCAATCTAAAGGCGGATTTGCGAGGACATGCAAAGCTCCCATGATTTGCTACCGAACTTGATTCATAACCCGCTCTACCGCGATAGCAAGGGCAGCGTTGTAGCTGAGAGTTCCGGCTCCGCCGCGGCTCCCCGCTCTGACGCCGACGGCTCCTGCTGCCCCCGCCGGCCTCTTTGCGCGAACTAATCCCAACACCGTGGCCGAGGATGTGTGGCTCTGGCTTCGCCCTGCCGCGAAGGCACGGGCAGCGCTGCAGCCGACAAGCCCCGCTGCGCCGCTGCTGCCCTCTCTCCTGGTACCATCCAGTGCCTGCTGCCACTGCCAGCCTTCTCGCACGAGCTGGCCCCAGCACTGCAGCTGACGATGACGTGCGTCTGCCCTTTCAACCCGCGCAAGCGGACCTCAACGGCACTGCTGCTGTTCGCCACTGCCGCCTGCTTCCGCCCGTCGTCTGGGCGGTCCCCGCTGTCGGTGCCGTGCTGTGACTGGGGGGGGGAAGGGGGATACCTGGGACCACTTCGGAAGCGATTGCATGCTGCACTGTGCCTTCTCCTTCGTCTCCTTCGCGTTCCCCATACGACGCCGATGCGTTCAGGAGGAGGAGGAGGAGGAGGAGGAGGAGGAGGAGGAGGAGGAGGAGGAGGAGGAGGAGGGAGGAGGGAGGAGGGAGGAGGGAGGAGGAGGAGGAGGAGGAGGAGAAGGGAGGAGACACGAAGGAGGTTTTTTATTCACAGCACTGCGGCCCGTGCCTGTCTGTGCACTGTGTGTTACCGCTGCGCCAGCGCGTGTGCCAGGCCCCGCAGCTGCTCCCGGCCTGCCCTCTCCGGCGGGCAGGGAGCCAGCGGCGCCTGGCGCCCCTGCCCCGGAGGCGGGCACGGGAGGGCAGGAGGAGGACGAGGACGAGGGCGAGGGCGAGGAGGAGGACGAGGACGCGGACGAGGACGAAGTCGAGGACGAGGACGGGGGCGAGGACGAGGACGAGGACGATGCCGAGGAGAGGAGGGGATACGCCCGATGAGGCCGGATGGGGCGGGGATGGGAAGGAACGTGGCGGGAGCATGCCAGATTGGGCTGGTCTTCGACATCGGATCTACCAGCGCCGATGCTGAGTCCAACCTCCCAGGCTCCCAGGAGCTTCCTCCTAACTCCTAACAAGGGGTCCAGGGGAGCCTGTGGGCAAGCCATGGGCCGGCTACAAGAAGCCTTGGGCACCGCGGCTCCCGACGTGCTTGGTTTCCCACGCCTCTCGGAGGGGAGGGCGTAGGAAGGACAAACGGGTTAAGACGAAGCCAGGACGAGGATAAACTCGGGTGAGGATAAGCCGAGAATCTCTGAGATCTGGCGGCTCTGGGGGATGTCTCGGGCGCTGCGACCTTCTCAGAGCGTTCCAGACCGCTCTGAGAACGTCCCGAAACGCTCTCGAACGGACTTTATCCTCGTCCTAGCCCCGTCCGAAGGGTGCTCGAGTGCCCGCAAGAAGGCCACCAGCAGGCAGAGTCGCCTAAGTCGCAGGCCCAGGCTTGGCTTTGGGCTTGGCCTTGGCCTTCTTGCCGTCGTCGTCAGTGGCCTGCTTGCGCGCAGCCCGTCTTCGACATGATTCTACATGTTCACTGAACCTAGCTCTCGTCGACGTGCTATGACCAGACGTGACGCGTCAGCAACACAATGTATCATGACACCCGCATACATATATATACATATATATATATATATGTATACACTCCCTGCTAGCGAGGGACGGGAGGGTCTGCGGATGGGGACTGCAACCAGCTGCGCAAGCAATGCGTCTTTGATAGAGAAGGCGGAGGATGATCTGCACTATCGCTGCGTGTGGTGGAAGTGTAATGTATGCGCCAGCTAGGTAAGTAAGCCGTTGAACCAACCTGTAACAAAAAACCCTTTCTCGGCTGCCTGCCACGAGATTCCGAATACTTTTCCACGTGTCCCACCCTCTCTTCCTCCACCTTCCTGTCCTGCTCGCTTCTCGACTGCCTCCCCCTATTCCTCCGTACCCTAGACACGATGCTCAAAATGTTGCCCGACCGTTCTGTCTGTGGAATTGTTAGACTGTCGAATGAGCCTGCACTCTTAGACCTCACAACCCGCGGCGCCTGTGCCCGTCAGCCGGGCACTGCAATGGGTGTCATGTGGATGTGTTTCCGCGCGTGCACACAATCAGCAAAATGTTGAACCTGATTTCCCGCCACCGTGCCCCTGGCATGTTGAGGCGTGGTAGAATGCCAACTGCTGTCAGGTAGGGTGCCTACGGTCGTTTAAGTCCCCCCCCCCTCTCCCGACAGAGGGCTGCATGCAACGCCCCTCCCTCCCTAGGGTCCCTTGTCGACACGGTTGATCGTCGAAGATTGCCTCGGGCCCTCCTGGCAGGCCGAAGTTTCTGCCAAACCTGAGATTTCCGCAGGTTGCTCAGGCCACTCAGCCTCCAGGGGCTCTAGGCTCCAGGTGGCTCTCAGAGCACCTCGAAGAACTAAAGAGAAGCCAAATCAGTTCCATGAGTTCTATGAGAAGCTAAATCGGATAACCTCGACAAGGCTCCCAAGATGGCCCAAGAAGGGCCCAAGACAGGCCAACACGGCCCGAATGCAATTCCCAGAGCAGCAGAGAAAGGCCCCAGAGGGCCCGACACTGCACTTCGGCAGCCCCAACACGACCCCAATTCCTAAGATCGCTCAAGATGGCGCCAGTGTTGGCTGCGAGCGAAGGGGGGAAGTGAGAAGGAGAAGGCCTTCTCAGCCGATTCGTAAGTCCCCCAGCCTTCTGGGCGGTTTTCTGAGCCTTCCCCGAAGACCAGAAGACTTCTCAGAGGGCGCGAGGGCTTCCGAGAAGTCCCGCCGCCTTCTGAGAAGGCTCACACCTTCTCGCTTCCCCCCATCGCTCGCCGCCGACAGTAAGCCGGGCCTGTCCCCCTACAGGGGGATTTTCGACGAAAAATAAAAATACCCACAAAATGCTTCAAAAAGGCCAAAAAATTGTCAAAAAATAGTCCCCGGACTATTTTTGGACTATTTCCCTACCTAGGCTCTGCCTAGAAGGGTTCTTACTCTCTGGGCTTTAAGGGGCCGGGCAGTGGAAAGCGCCCCGGGCGGTTCCCCCGGTATCCGCCCCGCGGTTCCCCCAGTTGCGCCCCCTTAGCTTAGCGTTGCTTATCTCACCTTAGTTTAGCTTAGTTCATCTTAGCTTAGCTTCGCTTCATCTTAGCTCAGGTTTGTCTTAGCTTAGCTTACCTTCATCTTCGCTTCGCTGAGCTTTAGCATAGCATAGCGCAGCACAGCACAGCATAGCATAGCGTAGCATAGCATAGCGCAGCATAGCATAGCATAGCACAGCATAGCATAGCATAGCATAGCGCAGCATAGCATAGCATAGCATAACATAGCGAAGATTAGCATAGCATAGCACAGCGCAGCATGATATATCATAGCTTAGCATAGCATAGCATAGCATGGCGCAGCACAGCATAACATGGTATAGCGCAGCATAGCATGGCATAGCATAACATGGCAACTAATTCCCTACCTAGGCTCTGCCTAGAAAGGTTCTTACTCTCTGGGCTTAAAGGGGCCGGGCAGTGGAAAGCGCCCCGGGCGGATCCCCGGGTATCCGCCCCGCGGTTCCCCCAGTTGCGCCCCCTTAGCTTAGCTTTGCTTATCTAATCTTAGCTTAGCCTTGCTTAACTTAGCTTAGTTTACCTTAGCTTAGCTTAGCTTAGCTTAGCCTAGCCCTGCTTAGCTTAGCTTTGCTTACCTTAGCTTAGCCTAGCTGAGCTTAGCTTAGCTTGACTTAGCTTAGCTTTTTCTTAGCGCAGCATTAGCATAGCATAGCATCGCATAGCATAACATATCATATCGTAGCATAGTATAGCGTAGCGCATCATAGCATAGCGCAGCATACCATAGCATAGCATAGCATGGCATAGCGCATCATATCAGTGCATATCATAGCATAACATATCATAACATAGCTTAGCATAGCACAGCGCAGCATAACATAGCATAGCGTAGCAGAGCATTTAATATAATGTCATAGCGCAGAATAACATAGCATAGCATAGCACAGCGCAGCATAGCATATCATAGCATAGCCTACCATAGCGCAGCATAGCATAGCATAGCATAGCATAGCGCAGCATAGCATAGCATAGCATAGCACAGCGCAGCATAGCGCAGCATAGCATACCCTAGCATAGCATAGCATAGCGCAGCATAGCGCAGTATAGCGTAGGTGTAGGTGTAGATGTGGATGTAGGTGTAGATGTAGATGTATATGTACATGCAGGTGTAGATGTAGGTGTAGATGTACATGTGAGTGTAGTTGTAGATGTAGATGTAGATGTAGATGTAGATGTAGATGTAGATGTAGATGTAGATGTAGATGCATGTGTACATGTAGATGTAGCTGTAGGTGTAGACGTGGATGTAGGTGTAGATGTAGGTGTAGGTATTAAACTGTACTATTACTACTACTACTACTACTACTACTACTACTACTACTACTACTACTACTACTACTACTACTACTACTACTACTACTACTACTACTACTACTACGACTAATACTACTGCTACTACTAGTATTGCTACTACTACTACTACTACTACTACTACTACTACTACTACTACTACTACTACTACTACTACTACTACTACTACTACTACTACCGCTACTGCTACAACTGCGACGATGAGGAGAAGGAGGAGGACGGCGTTTACCGTTACTATGTTGCTCTCCTCGGGGCTCCAACTCCTAGGTAGGGTCGCTCTGGGATAATGTTTGACTATCTTTGGGGTATTTTTTTAGATTTTTCGTCGAAGTTCTCCCGTAGGGGGACACTCCCGACTTAACTCTAGCAGTGGAGACCAAACCAGCCCCAGGACGGCCCCAGCAGGCTCCGTGACCCTCCGAAGGCACCGCGCCGACGCGCGTGTGCCACGAGCCGCGGCCTCCCCGACGCCGCGCTCCCCCGCCGCGCCGCGCCACGCGCCACGAGCGCCGCGCCGGCTCTCTCGAGGGCGGGCTGCCCCGCAAGGGCGGTGTGCTCCGCGGCTCGGGAGGCAGCCGACTGTGGTTGCCTCCCGAGCTGGAGGAGGAGGAGGAGGAGGAGGAGGAGGAGGGGGAGGGGGAGGGGGAGGAGGAGGAGGAGGAGGAGGGGGAGGAGGAGGTGGAGGAGGAGGAGGAGGAGGAGGTGGAGGAGGAGGAAGATACACAACGACACAGCGCCGCACGCTACGAGCGCCGCGCCAATTCTCGCGAGCCGGCTGCCCCGCCGGGCGGTGTGTTCCGCAGCTCGGGGGGCAGTCGACTGCGGTGCTCACGGGGGGGGGCTCGGGATACACAACCAGAGGGCCACATGCGAAGCCTACCCCTGCCCCCAACGATTTCTGAGGGGGAGGGTGGGGTTCACGACGTGCGGGAGCTCCCGAGCGAAGTGAACCCCACCCTCCTCCTCCTCAGAAATCGTGGGCTGACAACGACACAGCGTCGCACGCTGCGTCATCCTGCTCCTCAGCATCGCTCCTCCTCGCCCTCCCTCTCATACCGTGCTCCTCCTGCTCGGCATGCTCCTCACCATCGCATCACACCCGGAAGAGCAGCCTCGAGACGGCCGACGTGTCGCAGGTTACGGCACCCTGGGCGTTGCCACATCGGTCGCCACACAGAGGATGGGACAAGAGGAACGTCCGACGGCGAGATCGAGGAGAGACACACTTGGGTGGCAGACCATGGGGCGTCTTTTTGGTGCATAAAGTGCTGTTTAGTGCCACTGAGTGTTCTCTAGTGCCGCGCCATCGTCCTAGAGCCAGACCCTTCTATTCCCGAGCTGCGGCCGCCCATCTGACGAATTGTTCGCCAATGTCCAACCATTCTCAATACGTTCCACTCTTTTCCATTATCTTTCGCAGATGTCGTTGATACTCATGTTCCATTATGTCCAAGAAAATCAAGACTTCGTCATCATACCTCATTCAATTTCACGGACTTGCAAAAACGGACGGTGCATGAATTTACGTTGGAGGAGTTGACGGTTCCGCTCATTCTTACGAAGTCGCATTAAATTTGAAAGCGAGTCAGGCTCGGGTAACGAAACAACTGCCAATGACCTGCCACCTAAACGTACCAACACGCAGGGGAAGAGCGTGTTACTTGTAACGGCTCCCAAACCTCCGTCGTGGGCACACAAGATTTCACGCGTGGCAGCCTCTGGTGCGCACGTCGAACAGTCGCCACCCAGAGTGCAGAGTTGGCACGGTGACGGACTTGCCGCAGGCAGCTGGATAATCACACAACTCGCTCTCAATATTCCTCCCCTCTGCTCAGACGCGCCACATACGTCTGAAATGTGCTGGGGTCCGCACGGCTTCAAGCAAACGCGCGTCATGACATAGCTTGATGCACATCTGCGCGACGCACCATGATTACGATAATTGCTGAAGTAATGACAGCCCGGCTCCGACACGCAGTCGCTAGGGTGAGCTAAGGAGTAGGATGGTAACGACACCAAGATAAGATGGTACATGTCTGCTAACAACCATACAAAAGACACGGGTCGTCGCCAGCGAAAACAAGTCATAACGAAAACGCATGCCACAATAAAACATGGATGAGCAACATGCCTGATAATCACCAGGCGTCCCCAACTGACGCGATACAACGGTCCCGTCTGTTCGGATTGCTTCTCTTTCTGGCCGACCCGAACTGCCCGGCGTTGAAGCTCGGGCGTGTCCAAAAACACCCCAATCTTCCGCTACACCAGGACTTCCATCTACGCCACGTGCGAATGATAAGTTTGCCCTGTGGTTTTGTACATCAGCTACTCCACCGGAGGAGGAGGAGGAGGAGGAGGAGGAGGAGGAGGACATCGGTCCCGTCCGTTCAGACTGAATGGGCTCGGTTCCCCCCGAATGGTGGCAATCGAGGCCAGCTCGGCCGTCGAGCGCGCTCGATGTCGGGCCCGTTCGACGGCCGGAGGGTCCTCAGAGGAGGAGTGCGCTCCGAGAGACACCCTGGGACAGCACGTCGAAATCGCAAGCCCTGGTGCCCCCAGAGGCCTCGGGGTATCTCGTGAGGCTTCTGAAGACTTCTGGAGGCCCTCAGAGGCGGCCATCGTCGTCGTCGTCGTCGTCGTCGTCCTTGTCCTCGTCGTCGCCTCCTGGGGCCTTGCAGGGCCTCCAGGCTCCAAATACCCCCAGCTCTGGACAATCGGGGGCGATCATATTGGACAGCGGTGTGTCTTTTGTTCACTGGCCGTCTCGCATTCTTTGCTATCGCCCACAGCGGACAGGGTGTGAGCGGAGGAAACGGGGGGAGGAGGAGGAAATGATAAAGGCTGCTGGAGAGCGGAGAGAGGGGTGAGGAAGACAGGGTGAGGGTTATGTTGCCCCCATCGTACTTAAGGACCACATACCAGACATAATTTCGAGCACCCGAAAAAAGTGTCGAAACAGTGCCGAAAGAGTGTCGAAACAGTGTCGGACGAGTGTCTCCCAGGGCCCGGCACGTGAAGACCCTCGAGCTCCAGTACTCGTTCTGGTGCTCGGAGTCCTTCCTGGTGGTCCAGGCGAAAGTAGGTTGGAACATTTCATGATGAGGAAGGGAGGAGGAGGAGGAGGAGGAGGAGGAGGAGGAGGAGGAGGAGGAGGAGGAGGAGGAGGAGGAGAGGAGGAGGAGGAGGAGGGAGGAGGAGGGATGAGGAGGGTAAGGCGGGCCGTCTGTTTGTTCACGATTGCCGTGACGATCTCCGTGGTCATGCGCCTGACGCGCTTGAGCCGCTCGTCGCGCAGGACCTCCGCGGGCGGGCGGGGGGACGGACGAACCGCCCCTGCGTCGACACACGTGCAGGACGGATACGGTGAGCGAGAGAGAGAGAGTAGGAGGCCCCCTCGCCTCCTCCTCCTCCTCCTCCTCCTCCTCCTCCTCCTCCTCCTCCTCCTCCTCCTCTAGATGGGCTCGAAGGAGACGGGGTCGGAGGACCGCGACGAGTCGTCAACGCATTGGCGAGACTTCGCCGATGCATCGGCGACATCAGCGACGCATCGGCGACACCAGCGTGGAGAAGATCGGGCTCCACATCGAGCCGCATTGCCGCTGCATCGGCGATGCGGCGCGACCCTCTGACCCCATCTGCTCCGACCCCGTCTGGGCGGCCTAGAGAGAGAGAGAGAGAGATAACAAACAAAAAAGAGAGGGCGAGGTGTGTGTGTGTGTGTGTCTGTGCGTGCGTGCTTGTATACAAACACATTAGCAAACGCATCTCTCCGAGGGAACTGAACTCAATAAAGATGAATTGAAGCCGTCCCGTCCGCAATTTGTTTGGCCATGTTCCGATGTATATCCTCACAATTCCGAAAACTGGACGCACCCCTCACGCAGACCGCGACGTCACGGCCAGAACACACAAGGGATATTCAACACATTCGCATAAAACGTTCAACATCATAATGGTGTTCAGCGATTTTCAATGCCGTTCTTCGAAAAACAGCGGCCTCGCGTGAGACATCCCCCAATATTGAAACCCGACCCGTTCGAAATTGACCTCATATTCTTCAGAACGACAGTTTCGCGGGGTATATTCTACGAACATTGGCTTCGGAGTTTCTTCTCAACTGCAACCGCAAGATGTGGATCACCCTCCTGCACCACACACCAACACACATCGCGAGATGTGGCAATCCCGCTGTTTCACCTCCTTCCCAACAGCCCCTGGTGATCCTCACTATCCTCCTTCTATCCGGTTTCCCCTTTTTATCCATGTCATTATTCCTCCTGGCTCCTCGGATCCGACTTCATATTCCTCTTATTGCCACTTTCCTGCGATGCTTACGTGCTCCAGTTCTTTTCTGCACGAGCATGTGTACGCATGTGTCATGTGTACATATGTACAGGTATGAACATTGATACTGGCACAGTATACATGGATTTGCACAGAGAGCTCGATACAACTCTTGATGCGCAACATCAGCTGGTGACAAAAGTGAGTTGCGCAACCCAATGCGCCACGTACATATGCTTATGTTGAGCAAGTTCTAACGCCCACGCGAGTATGTGAATGCGTTCGATATGAACATGTAGCTTCACAATGACAGGGAGAGAAGAGAGAGAGAGAGAGAGAGAGAGAGAGATGGCACAAAAGAGGACGAGAGAGAGAGAGAGAGAGAACACCAGAGAGAGCTATCCGCCACCGTGCCTCTGGGCACGGAGAGGGCGTGCCCTCCGAGTCCTTCTGCCTAATCCCTGGGGCCCCAGCCCTCAGCCCCGAGGCATCTTCGAAGATGCCTGGACCCCGAACTCCGAAATCTGCTGGGCCCTGGGCGCGTGCCCTCCTGGGGTGTCCGGTGTCTCGTCGCATGACCTGCCTGGCCCCAAGGGAGGGTCCGGAGACCGTGGCCCCGAGATGGCCCCGGGAGGCTCCCAGGACGCCCCCAAGAAGCCTCCGGGAGGCCTCCCAAGAGGGCCCCGAGAGGCAGACACCACTGTTCTTGGAGGATTTGGGCGTGCTCGCCCGTTCGGCCTTCCGACGCTCCAGGACGGCCCAAGAGGCCTCCAAGACCACTCCTAAACGGCACGCGAGGCCTCCATGAGGACCCCAAGCCGGCCTAAGAGCGCCCCAAGACGGCCCCAAAGGCACCCAAGATGGCCACAGAGGGCCCCAAGCCGGCCCCAAAGGGCGCCAAGAGAGGGAACAGGAACCGAACATCCGAGCCTTCTGCCCCCAGAGGCCCCCAGGAGGACCCCAAAAGGCCTCAAAACTGCCTTCAAGAGGCCTCCCACGAGATCCAGACGAACATCTAATAGGCACCATATCCACGACCCTTGCACGGTGGCGGGACAGGTTGAAGGCCATCAGATAATACTCCCAGAAAAATCTGCTACTGTGGTGGGGAAGGTTGGGGGGACGAGGGGGGGAGGGGGTCACGGTGACTAGGGGGGCGGGAGGGCATGTGACGGCGGCGCCCATGCAATTTTGCATATGCGTCATCGACGACAGTCGCCACCACATGCTGCCTGCGAGCGTGAGGAAACGGGTGTTTCTCCCCCATCCGTTACCGGGAAAGGGGGTGGTGGTGAGGGGGGCAGGTGGGGGTAACCGACGTTATCCCCCCTGATGCATTGAATCTCAATATCACACATTCTCAAACATAGATGTAATAACGTGTGTCGATGATGTGGGTGCCAGACAAGCTCACGTCGCTTTCTCTTTTCTCTCTCTCTCTCTCTCTCGCTCGCTCACTCCCTCCCTCCCTCTCCCTCCCTCTCTCTCTCTCTCTCCCTCTCTCTCTCTCTCTTTCTCCCTCTCTCTCTATATCCCTCTCTCTCTCTCTTTCTTCTCTCACACATGCTGAGCCCTCCGCTGCAACTCACAATCTCAGAGTAGTGTGGTACGAACTCCCCAACCCAACGCACCCCTGGGACCCTCGGACCCTCCAAATCCATCTTCCGTGGCTATCAGGATGCCTCGGATGCTTTCTAAGACGGGTCCAGAAGGGCGCCAACACTTAGTCGGCCCTGGAAACGACAAGGCCGTTTTTTTACCGGTTCCGTTTTGCCGTTTTTTGTTGCCGGTTCCGACGCCGTTTTTTGACCGGTTCCGGCTCTGGAGCCGTTTTTTTGCCGTTTCCGGTCGCCGTTTCTTCCCGTTTCCATTTTCAAGGACATCTTTTTGGAAACGGTGAAAAAACGGCCCTGCCGTTTACGGGGTCCACAAAGCTCCAATACAACGAAGAGACCTCAATTATATCCACGATGGCCTGAAGAGCCCCAAAAGGATCTCCATAGGTTGTTGCATTATCTTCGCAATCTAGCCTTGGCGGGGGCTCCTGAGCATCCAAGACGGCCCGAGAGCCCCCCGAGACCAGCCCAAGACGGCCCAAAAGGCCCCGTCCGGAGACGGCCCACCATGCCAAGAGGACCTTAAGATTGCCCAAGGCGCCCTCAATAGAGGGCAAAAAATCCGTCCCCATAATTACCACCCCGACGCGCGAAGTCGTTTAACAAACGCGCCCAAAGAAGGAATCAAACAGGGCAGGGCTGTTTAGTAAACGCCCAAGGCCGTTTATAAAACACCAAATGTCCGGTGCGGGTGGTTTTTCCTCACTTGACTCAAAACTGCCGAACAGGCCCAAGAGGGCCCCAAGAGAAGCTCACGGGGGGGAACTCACAGGGACCCTGAAAGACCATCCCCAGTAGATTTAGCTCGGGCGTGTCCCCCTACAGGGGGATTTTGAAGGAAAAATCAGCATTACTCCAACAATACCCAAAAATAGTCAAACATAATTCTTTAATAAAAGTCGTCCCCTGGCTATTTTTGACTATTTTTCTATATTCCCTCTGTAGAGGGACACGCCCGATTTAACAGTGGATGGTCCCCACGACCACGACCTCCAGCATGCACCCAAAGGACCGCCAAGAAGCCCCCAAAGGACCCCACAAAGCCCTGGGACCTCCGAGAAGAGTAGACGCCCCCCCCGAAACCTCCGAGGAGCCTCCTATAAAAGCCCATTGCGACGGACGCGGAGGAAAAAGAGGACGAATCAGCAACAACTACACGCAGGCAGCACGACAGGAAGCAGCAAAACAACACATACGACATCAGAAGCCGCACGTCTCATCTCCTGGGGAGCGGCGGAAGTGCGTAAATCCTCTCGATCGTTTGCGTAGGGACGTGCGGCCAGCCATTGTTGGATGCAGCAGCGCCCCGTGTGGGGAAGGCCGCGGACAATCCTGGAGGGTGTAGGAGTAGAGATCGGAACCAGTTGCGGACTGCTAGCTGTGACCTGACCACGCTGCAGAGAAGACCCTCGCCGCCGACTGTCGAGTCTGGCCTTGCTCTGGACCTTGGAATTGAACCCATCTCTCGGGGTGGTGGTGGTTGGGCAAGGCGTGGGGGTGGTGGTGGTTGGGCAGTGCGTGCCGAAAGGCCGAAGCTGCTCGGCGATCGAGGAGACGGGGCGACGAACGGGGCCACGAGGGCAGAGTTAGGTCAGGCACGTCCTCCTACAATCGGATTTGTTTGGGGATTTTTCTAAAGTGAAAACGCATACTCAAACATGATCAAAACAGTCGGAAAGTCGTCCGCCGACTATCTTTTCACTATTTTTGGATCTTCCTCCTGTAGAGGGACGCGCGCGACTGAAGGGTAGAGGGATTGGGGAGGGTCGGAGGGCGAGAGGCGCAAGGGGATGGCGGCCAGGAGCGTTGGCGCGGCGTGGCCTGAGCGGCGGTCTCGGCGACAGGCTGCGCACGGTCAGCGGATGGCGTGCCGCCCCGCTCCGCGGGGCGGGAGGCCGGGAGGAGCTCGGGACGTGGGGGGGGAGGGGGGGAGGAGGGGATGGATGGATGGATGGAGGGAGGGAGGGAGGGAGGGAGGGAGGGAGGAGGGAGGGAGGGAGGGAGGGAGGGAGGGAGGGAGGAGGGGGAGCAGGAGGAGAAGGAGGGGGAGGAGGAGGAGGAGGAGGGAAGGAGAAAGGGAGGGAGGGGGGGGAGGGGGAGGGAGGGAGGGAGGGGCTGGGGCGTGCCCTGCGTGCCGCGCCGAGGAGCGGTGGGCCAGAACCGGCGGAGAGGAGGGACCGGGAGGGTGGAGGTCGGCGCAGGGAGGAGCGGCACCCGCAGGAGGAGCAGGAGAAGAGTTGCACGGCGAGGAGGTCTCTTGTCAGGAGGCGCATGCGTTCCGCAACCGATGGCTACGAATCAGCGGAGGCAACGCCCACCGGGACATCGAGGGGGGATCGGCAACTTTTTCACGCCACCGCTTCTCCTCCGCCCCCGCGCCCTCCCTGATTCGTCCGCG